GTTTAGATACCTGTTTCATAGTTTAGATCCCTATTCCCTAATATAGATCCCTAATCTCTAGTTTAGATACCTGTTTCATAGTTTAGATCCCTCTTCCCTAATATATATCCCATCGTTATACCTTTTAGATCCCTTTTCCCTAGTTTAGGTTCCTAGTCCCTAGTTTAGGTTCCTAGTCCCTAGTTTAGGTTCCTACTCCTAGTTTAGGTTCCTATTCCCTACTTTAGGTTCCTAGTTTCTAGTTTATGTTCCAAGTCCCTAGTTTAGGTTCCAAGTCCCTAGTTTAGGTTCCTAGTCCCTACTTTAGGTTCCTAGTTCCTAGTTTAGGTTCCAAGTCCCTAGTTTAGGTTCCAAGTCCCTAGTTTAGGTTCCAAGTCCCTAGTTTAAGTTCCTAGTCCCTACTTTTGGTTCATAGTTCCTAGTTTAGGTTCCTAGTTCCTAGTTTAGGTTCCTAGTCCCTAGTTTAGGTTCCTAGTTCCTAGTTTAGGTTCTTACTCCCTAGTTTAGGTTCCTAGTCCCTAGTTTAGGTTCCTAGTCCCTATTTTAGGTTCCTACTCCCTAGTTTAGGTTCCTAGTACCTAGTTTAGGTTCCTAGTTCCTAGTTTAGGTTCCTAGTTCCTAGTTTAGGTTCTTAGTCCCTAGTTTAGGTTCCAAGTTCCTAGTTTAGGTTCCTAGTCCCTAGTTTAGGTTCCTACTCCCTAGTTTAGGTTCCTAGTCCCTAGTTTAGGTTCCTAGTTCCTAGTTTAGGTTCCTAGTTCCTGGTTTAGGTCCCTAGTCCCTAGTTTAGGTTCCTAGTTTCTAGTTTAGGTTCCTAGTCCCTAGTTTAGGTTCCTAGTCCCTAGTTTAGGTTCCTACTCCTAGTTTAGGCTCTTAGTCCCTAGTTTAGGTTCCTAGTTCCTAGTTTAGGTTCCTACTCCTAGTTTAGGTTCCTACTCCTAGTTTAGGTTCCTACTCCTAGTTTAGGTTCCTACTCCTAGTTTAGGTTCTTAGTCCCTAGTTTAGGTTCCTACTCCCTAGCTTAGGTTCGTAGTCCCTAGTTTAGGTTCTTAGTCCCTAGCTTAGGTTTCTACTCCCTAGTTTAGGTTCTTAGTCCCTAGTTTAGGTTCCTACTCCCTAGTTTAGGTTCCTAGTCCCTAGTTTAGGTTCCTAGTCCCTAGTTTAGTTTCCTAGTCTCTAGTTTAGGTTCCTAGTTTCTAGTTTAGGTTCCAAGTCCCTGGTTTAGGTTCCTAGTCCCTAGTTTAGGTTCCTAGTCTCTAGTTTAGTTTCCTAGTCCCTAGTTTAGGTTCCTACTCCCTAGTTTAGGTTCTTAGTCCCTAGTTTAGGTTCCCAGTCCCTAGTTTAGGTTCCTAATCCCTAGTTTAGGTTCATAGTTTCTAGTTTAGGTTCTTACTCCCTAGTTTAGGTTCCTAGTTCCTAGTTTAGTTTCCTACTCCCTAGTTTAGATCATTCTAACTTTATCATTTGTTATATTATCTTTCAGGGTAAAGAATACGTACCCATTTTTGTAAATAGGTGTAAGAAAAAAATAACTGTAAAAACGCATTAGTTCTTTTGCTAGATATCTGCAATAACGTAGGGCTTGTAAATTATTTATATGTAATGGATTTGAAAATGGGTTTCTTTTGATTCATTCTAAATTTAAATCTCTATTCAGAACTCTCTGCATTTACAAGCTGTGTAAACAGATATATTCTCTTTATCAAATAAATTAAAAATACTGGAAAAAAAATTGTATGGCATAAACATTAAACAACGTGGTAGGGGGTTACTTTACATGGGGTAACTTTACATGGGGTAACTTTACATGGGGTAACTTTACATGGGGTAACTTTACATGGGGTAACTTTACATGGGGTAACTTTACATGGGGTAACTTTACATGGGGTAACTTTACATGGGGTAACTTTACATGGGGTAACTTTACATGGGGTAACTTTACATGGGGTAACTTTACATGGGGTAACTTTACATGGGGTAACTTTACATGGGGTAACTTTACATGGGGTAACTTTACATGGGGTAACTTTACATGGGGTAACTTTACATGGGGTAACTTTACATGGGGTAACTTTACATGGGGTAACTTTACATGGGGTAACTTTACATGGGGTAACTTTACATGGGGTAACTTTACATGGGGTAACTTTACATGGGGTAACTTTACATGGGGTAACTTTACATGGGGTAACTTTACATGGGGTAACTTTACATGGGGTAACTTTACATGGGGTAACTTTACATGGGGTAACTTTACATGGGGTAACTTTACATGGGGTAACTTTACATGGGGTAACTTTACATGGNCATATTTATCTATCTATCTGCTATTAATATCAGTCTATTTTTTATCTGTCTGTATATCTGCACATTTATCTATCTATCTGCTATTAATATCAGTCTATTTTTTATCTGTCTGTCTATCTGCATATTTATCTATCTATCTGCTATTAATATCAGTCTATTTTTTATCTGTCTGTATATCTGCATATTTATCTATCTATCTGCTATTAATATCAGTCTGTTTTTTATCTGTCTGTATATCTACACATTTATCTATCTATCTGCTATTAATATCAGTCTGTTTTTTATCTGTCTGTATATCTGTTTTTCTTTCCGTTTCTCTCTTTTTACCTTTTTGCATGTCTATCTACATGTCTGGGTGTCTGTCTAATTTCTACCTCCTTATCTGTCTCCCGTCAATTATTTTTTTTTGTCTGTAACCTGTATATCTGTCTGTCAGTGCGTCTGTCTCAATCCATCTTTCTTTCCCTCCATCTATCTGTCTCTCCACCCATCTCTCCATTTATCTGTTACTCCATCTGTCTGTCTACCTCTTCATCTGTCTGTTGATCTGCCTGTCTATAAATCTGGTATCTGTCGGTGTACCTGTTTGTCTATCTGTCTAGGTATTTGTCTATATGTCTGCCTATCTGTCTCTCCATTCATCTGTCTGTCTAACTGTCTAGGGATTGTTTTGTTCACATATTTTTGTATCTGTCTGTTTACGTTTTTGTCTATTAGTCTAGGTTTTTGTCTGTTAATCTGTCTGGGTATCTGTCTGTGTACAAGTTTTTCTATCTGTCAGTCTGTCTATTTGTCTGTCTCCTGTCTTTCTTTCTGTCAGTATGTCTCTATATCTCTCTGTCTATCTGTATAAGGTGATGTCTGTTTACATATTTGTCTATTTGGGTGTGTACATGTTTGTCTATCTGTCCAGGTGTCTGTCTGTATGTCTGTCTGGTTGTCTGTTGTGCTAAAGAATTTAATATTTCTCTCAACTCTGTTGTCGAGGAATAAGTAATGATTTCTGAGCTTCAAAATATATTTCTGAAACGGGGTCACATGACACAGATCCCATTTTTAAATTGGATTTTCAACTTTCAAGACTTCTTTAAAAATCTAAACCAAAATAAATCAAATTTTTTTTGTCTTTCTTTGGGTGTTTCTTCTTGTCTCTTTGTTCTAAATACATTTCTTGTTGTCTCTTTGTGTTCCTTTGTGTATACTCTTGTCTCTTTGTTCTAATAAATTACCTTGGTGTCTCTTTTTGTCTTTTTGTATATACTTTGGCTCTTTGTTAAACCTATCTTCTTCGTTGTGTCTTTTTGTGTATAGTCTTGTCTCTTTGTTCTATCTATCTTCTTCTTTGTGTCTTTTTGTCTTTTTTTAGGTATTTTTTCTTGCCTCTTTGTTCTGATTATTTACCTTGATGTCTGTTTGTGTATAATCTTGTCTCTTTTTTGTCGTTTTGTGTTTCTTTGTGTATATTCTTGTGATAGGTCCCTGTTATTGTTTTTAATAAAGATGAAGACAAATATTTGAAGAGCGTATATTTTTCTTGTTAAACTTGGTTCAAGCAAACACAGGAGAACATTGTTTTAGCCAAGGTTTATAAAATAAAGTTTGATAAAACACCAAGGTTTATTAAAATAAGGTTTGATTAAACACCAAGGTTTATAAAATAAAGTTTGATAAAACACCAAGGTTTATTAAAATAAGGATTGATAAAACACCAAGGTTTCTTAAAATAAGGATTGATTAAACACAAAGGTTTCTTAAAATAAGGATTGATTAAGCACCATGGTTTATAAAGTAAGGATTGATTAAACACCAAGGTTTATAAAATACCAAGGTTTATAAAATAAGGATTGATTAAGCGCCATGGTTTATAAAATATGGATTGGTTAAACACCAAGGTTTATAAAACACCATGGTTTATAAAATAAGGTTTGATTAAGCGCCATGGTTTATAAAATGAGGATTGATTAAACACCAAGGTTTATAAAATAAGGTTTGATTAAACACCAAGGTTTATAAAATACCAAGGTTTATAAAATAAGGATTGATTAAACACCATGGTTTATAAAATATGGATTGGTTAAACACCAAGGTTTATAAAATAAGGGTTGATTAAACACCAAGGTTTATAAAATAAGGTTTAATTAAACACAAAGGTTTACAAAATAAGGTTTGATTAAACACCAAGGTTTATAACATATGGATTGGTTACATACCAAGATTTATAAAATAAGGATCGTTTAAGCACCAAGATTTGTAAAATAAGGTTTGTTTAAACACCACTGTTTATACAGTAAGGATTGTTTAAGGTTTATAAAATAAGGTTTTATTTAATACCAAGGGTTATAAAATAAGTTTTTTAACTTTAATAATTTATTTTAATTAAATTTTTACAATATGTTTAAATATTTATATTATATCAGGTGGAAATATTTTGAGATCTCTATATTTCTTGTTCTTGATTTTCTTCTTTTTCCTATATTTTTCAATCATAGGGGATTGCTCCCTGTGTTCCTTCTATTATACTCTTTCCATTTTAAGGGGCATTAAGGAAACCCATAATTGCACCCCTTATGAAAAATGGGGAGTTGTAGGCCCTAAAGCCCCATTGAGAGGAATCCACAGCAGTCCAGTTCTCACAGCTGTTTGAGTAAAAAAAAACTGGTATTGTTGTGCATGGCTTGTTTACCCATCAGGGATTAGACTCCTTCTTTCAGTTACACCAGGATGAAGATGAAGTCTTGTTTTATTCTATGTACATTTCTTTCTTCCCCTGTAGGATACAAGGTAAGCAACTAAACATAGCGCTCCACCAAACTGTTATATGCTTTAAAATATCCCTAGTACCCAACCATTTAAATTAGGTGTCTAAAATTTTCCAAAATGATAAGTCGGACTGGCACGACTAACACTCCCATTTCTCTGAACTTAAAAAGGAGATCATTCTGGGAAGGGGGAAGGGTATTTAACCCATCTTCCCCTATATAAAACCTAGATAACACAAAAATAGCCCAACTGGGATAGGGTTCAGAGCACGTCTTTTTAACAGTGAGAGCTAATGTAACAACAATAATCTTCCTAACCAATTATTGAATATGTCAAAAAGATAATAAAACTTTAAAACCCATTTTTGTTGGGTTATAAGTTGGGCTATGAGTTTGGCTAAAGGTTGGGCTATGAGTTTAACAATAAGTAAGGCTATAACTTGGACTATTAGTTGGACTATAAGTTGGACAAAAAGTTAACTATAAGTTGAACTATAAGCTGGACTAGAAGTTGGGCTATAAGTTGGGCTATAAGTTGGACTATAAGTTTAACAATATGTTGAACTATGAGCTGGACTAGAAGTTGAACTATTAGCAGAATTACAAGTTGAACTATAAGTTGAACAATAAGTTTAACTATAAGTTGAACTATAAGTTGGACTATAAGTTGAACTATAAGCTGGACTAGATGTTGAACAATAAGTTGGGCTATAAGTAGGACTACAAGTATGACAATAAGTTAAACTATAAGTTGAACTATAAGCTGGACTAGAAGTTGAACTATAAGTGGAACTATAAGTTGAACTAAAAGGTTGGACTATAAGTTGAACTATAAGTTTAACTATAAGTTGGACTAAAAGTGAAACTATAAGTTGAACTATAAGTTGAACTTTAAGTTGAACTATAAGGTTGGACTATAAGTGGAACTATAAGTTTAACTATAAGTTGAACTATAAGTTGTACTATAATTTGAACTATAAGTTGAGCTATAAGTTGAACTATAAGTTGGGCTATAAGTTGAACTATAAGTTGTACTATAAGTTGTACTATAAGTTGAACTATAAGTTGGACTATGAGTTGTACTATAAGTTGTACTATAAGTTGAGCTATAAGTCGGGCCAACTATTGGATAAAGTATCTCAAGTACTTTGCCTTATTTTTGAAGGATATTAGATAATAGATGTATACTTGACTGAGCTATGCAAAATTTAAGTCTCGCCTACTGGTCCCCCCCCCCCCCTCCATTTTAATTTGGAAAAATGGGTTTTATATTTATATATATTTATATAATATATATATTGTTGCACAATATCAAAACTACTCTAGAGGGCTTGTCAATCTCATTCTATCTGCATATTTTATCTAGATATATCATGTTAAAATACATATATTTGCTAAATTCTTGTTTCTACCCACAATGGAACTCATAAGACTGTGGAATAGGAAGACGACATTTAAGTAATATTTTGTGTACTTGGCGTTGTTACTCACCAAATAGTTTTACAAGTGGCTTAAAATTCAACTTAAGAGGTTAAATGGGTCTGTGTTAATTTCACATTGCTGTGTTTCATGTTCATTTTTCATTGGACTTATGTTCAAAATCATAACTTGAGTCTAACAGTCGTCTTCCTATTCCGCATGATATTAAGGACATTTTCATTCAGCGGCGTGTACAGTATTTTTTGGGGATGGGGGGGGGGGGGTGGTTTAGTTCTATATCCCCCTTGGTACCATCGTTTTTACATATCAATTGAAGTTGAAGCCCCCCCCCCCCTCCATGTATACGCCCCTATCGCAGTCACCCTGGACTAACCAGAGTTAGAGGCATTCGGTTTCTTCTGTTTGAAATCATTCGCGCTTTGGTCTATAATTAAGCATTCTTTAAACATACGGATTTGTTTGTCTTATACTTTTCATTCAAAACGTATATGCCGTCAAAAAAGTAGTTAAGAAAAAAGGCTAAAAAATTATGTTAATAGGACAAATTGTGAACGAAAGTTACAGCTTTCTGGAACCGTTAAATCCACGTGTGCAGCAGCGTCAACAGTACATGAAGATAGAAACAATTCCCCCATATTACAATGTTTTGTATCTTGACTCAGTTTTAATTAAGATTCTTTGTTTGTCTTTTTTCAGGACCTTCAGAACTTCATTAAGAAAAATATACTTTTCTTAATTTATCTAAAGAATAGATTCGTTTGGTAGAAATTAAGAAAAAATTTTAAAAAATTGCCAGTTTTAATAAAATCAGATAGATAAACTCCAGTTTGTTACATCTTAATTATGAATTGTTCTTTAACTTCGTTCGTATCTTTGCCACAAAAATCTACAACATTTTGAAAATCATTCACCAACTAATGAGACCTGAAAGAATCTTAAGCATTGCCAGGTCTCGGCTCCTGGTCTGAATTTTCCGACCTGATATCCTTGTTTAGTAGCCATGTTTATGAAGATTACAAAGCTTCCAAGCGTTTTTCTCTATATTATGTTTTGAATGAGAAATTGGCAATATCTTGAACATTACAGATTTTCGAGTTAAATTGAAAATATTTTAGTTAATGGAATTTTTAAATATTTTAGTTCATTTTTGAATATTTTAGTTATTGGAATTTTTAAATATTTTAATTAATGGAATTTTTAAATATTTTTGTTATTGGAAATTTTAAACATTTTATCGTTCATGGAATTTTTAAAGATTTTAGTTAATGGAATTTTCAAATATTTTAGTTCATGGAATTTTAAAAATATTTTTGTTATTGGAAATTTTAAAAATCCTAAATTTGGGACTTTTAAGACTGACACAGAAAATTTAAGAATTCCGATTGGGTCGCGAAAATATAGGGATTAGAAGATCAGAGTCTGTGGCAAAGACTCAAGTTAAAATGTCCAAATGTCAATTCGTAAACTATAAGAAATCAAAGATAATGTACCAGTCATCTGATAAATCCCATGATAAATGGGACACCTTGTACATAAATATAAATTGTAGAATCATTTATTAGGACACCCTGTACAAGAATATAAATTATAAAATCATGTATTTAGACACCCTGTACATGAATATAAATTATAGAATCATGTACTGGAACACCCTGTACATGAATATAAATTATAGAATCATGTACTGGAACACCCTGTACATGAATATAAATTGTAGAATCATATATTGGGACACCCTGTACATGAATATAAATTATAAAATCATGTATTTGTACACCCTGTACATAAATATAATTTATAGAATCATGTATTAAGACACCTGAACATAAATATAGATTATAGAATCATGTATTTGGACACCCTGTACATAAATAGAATTTATAGAATCATGTTTTTGGAAGCCCTGTACATGAATATAAATTATAGAATCATATATTGGGACACCTTGTACATGAATATAAACTGTAGAATAATATATTTGGACACCCTGTACATGAATATAGATTATGGAATCATGTATAAATATAAATTATGGAATCATGTACTGGGAGACCATGTACATAAATAAAGGTTATAGAATCATGTATTTGGACACCGTGTACATAAATATAATTCATAGAATCATGTCTTGGGACACCCTGAACATGAATATAAATTATGAAATCATGTACTTGTAGACCCTGTACATAAACAAAGATTATAAAATCATGTATTTGGACACCCTGTACATAAATATAAATTATAGAATTATGTATTAGGACACCCTGTACATAAATATAATTTATATAATCATGTACTGGAACATCCTGTACATGCATATGAATTATAGAATCATATATTAGAACACCCTGTACATAAATATAAAATGTAGAATCATATATTGGGACACCCTGTCCATAAATATAGATTATAAAATCATGTATTTGGACACCCTGTACATAAACATAAATTGTAGAATAATGTATTGGGACATCCTGTACATGAATATAAATTATAGAATCATGTATTGGGACAACCTGTACATAAATATAAATTATAAAATCATGTATTGGGACACCCTGTACATGAATATAAATTATAAAATCATGTATTGGGATACCCTGTACATAATTATATAAATTATAAAATCATGTACTGGAACACCCTGTACATAAATATAAATTATAGAATCACGTACTGGAACAACCTGTAAATGAATATAAATTATAAAATCATGTATTGGGACCCTGTACATAAATGTAAATTATAGAACATGTATTGGGACACCCTGTACATAAATTTTAGAATTATGTATTCAACAGGAAAAGCTGAACGCATGTTCTAGTTTGTAGTATTCCTCAAAGTTAATTAATTAATTAATTAATGAAGTAAATAATATTAAGTATACGTGGTGAATATACACTTTATATACACATTACACTTTATATCCACATTGCACTTTACAATCTACACTCTACACTCTACACTTTACACTCTATGCTCTACACTGTACACTGTACACTCTACACTTTACACTCTACAATCTATACTCTACACTCTACACTCTACAGTCTACACTCTACACTCTATTACTCAACACTCTACATTCTACACTTTACACTCTACACTCTATACTCTACACTCTACACTCTACACTCCATACTCTACACTCTACACTCTACACTCTACACTCCACACTCTACACTCTACACTCTACACTCCACTCTACACTCTACACTCTACAATCTACACTCTACACTCTACACTCTACACTCTACACTCTACACTCTGCACTCTACACTTTACACTCTACACTCTACACTCTACACTCTACACTCTACACTTTACACTCTACACTCTACACTTTATCCTCTTCACTTTACACTCTACACTCTTAACCCTACACTCTACACTCCGCACTCCACACTCCACACTCCACACTCTAAACTCTACACTCTAAACTCCACACTCTACACTCTACACTCTAAACTTTAAACTCTACACTCTACACCCTACACTCTACAATCTACACTCTACACTCTACACTGTACACTCTCCACTCTACACTCTACACTCTACACTCTACACTCTACACTCTACAATCTACAATCCACACCCTACACTCTACACTCTACACTCTACACTCTACACTCTACACTCTACACTCTAAACTTTAAACTCTACAATCCACACCCTACACTCTACACTCTACACTCTACACTCTACACTGTACACTCTCCACTCTACACTCTACACTCTACACTCTACACTCTACACTCTACACTCTAAACTCTACAATCTACACTCTACACTTTACACTCTCCACTCTACACTCTACACTATGTCAACGTAATTTCATGTAATCTTCAATCCAAGAATGTGCATACCGGATTCACTACAGTACCCTTAAAACCATTGTTTATTCAAGGACGGCTGTGAAAACAAGCATTTTGAAATTTCAGATATTTTGGTTTCCTCACGCCCCCTTCTTATTTTCATATGTGTACGTCTACATTATTCCCTGGATAGTGAATATCGACCAAAATGGCCGAGATGTGTTTTGTGTTGGACGTGTACACTGTTCATGCTGCCAACCCTTGTCTTGAAGGGATTGTTTACGATATTTTGATGAATCTCTCATGTTTATTTACAAGATTATCAACATTTTTATAATTTTGTGATCTAAGTTAACAAATATTCCAGGAAATCTGTCATTAAAAACTCTAGTTCATTTCAAGTACTGTACATACTACATATTTTAGGCATCAAAGGGAAAATTGTACAGTAAAAATAATAGACTAGATAGACTCCACATCGAAGGGTAAACGCACAGAAAGACGAATACAATTGGAAATGGTTTAGAGTAATTTGAAGTTTCGTTATCAGTCCCTTTAATATCTGATATAATGATACGGTAGGAATATTCAGGATTATTAGGTTATACATCCCATACACTAGTCCTATAGCCAACATTAGTATATTTACCATATTTTACATTCTCACCCCTTACTATACACTTTCTCACAAAACATAGGATAAAATCAATACTTGTGATGAACGCGCATAAGGGATGGTGTCGGTATTTCTAGAAAGAGAGAGACAAGGAAATAACAACTACACTCTAAACTCCACANCCCTCCTACTCCTCTTACCGTATCATGCTCTTTATCCACCCCATTACCCATTCAACCTTCCTTCCCTGTTCCTGTTCATCTCCCGTCCTTCCCCCCCGGACCCCACCCCTCCTTCTCCGCTTCCTACCCGTCCGTCTCCCCTTGACAATTTCCTATCCATCCTTCTTCTCTTGTTCTTCTTTTTCCCCATCCCGATCTTCTCCTCCTGTTCTTTTCCTTCCACTTTCCCCTGGCCTGACAATATCCTTCCATCCCATTTCCTTCCCTCGTTCTTCTTTTTCCCCATGCCAATCTTAATTCTCCTTCTGTCCTATTCCTTCCATTTTCCTGCTTCTCTGCCCTCCCCCTAATCTCGAAAAACCTCTTTAGGCACATGTTCAATACTTCATCAGTGCTGATCCTGGTTCAGCATTCAGTTTTATGTACTATATTTATATTTAATCCCTCCCTAGCGTGGAAGAATAATATTTGTATTTTTCCAGTTCTCATTTTGAAGTATTAAAAAAGTTTGCCCCCAAACTTAAATATATTCAAGGCCTTGTGTTTCTTATCAACACTAAGTATATATATATATATACCTAGTCAGAGATGTTTGCTGAAGGAGTAACATGTAAAAACATTTATGTAATGTATACTTTACATATCTAGTTACAAGAGTATTGAATGAATTGTATACTGTTTTGACTGGGGTTTCCAACAAATTGTGTAATCCCTATATCTTTGCAACTTTATGGTGTAATCCTTTGATATTTCAAACTTAGACTATTTGATATAGCAAATTTTAACAACATTCGAGTTGCAAAGATATAGGGATTAGAAAATTCGAGATTGTTGCAAAACATTTATTTCCTTGACGCACAAAGGAGTTGAGTCTTTGCCACAAACATAAGTTTTTGTATCCCTATACCCTTGCATTCTGATAATGTAAACGTTTGATATTTTAAACTTTGAATAAAGTGCAAACTAAAGGAGGATCCGGAACTCCACTGAGTTGACTGATTGATTGAAATTGAAGTGTTCCTTGTTAAAAACGTTGTAATTTAGTTCAGTCCATCAAATATATCCCTGGGGTACTTCGCTAGATATATATAGTGCTGAAATTGGGAGGGATACTACACACACACCTGTACAAATTCTTCCTGTTTCCACATTCTAGAACATATATTTGGAAACTCATGAGGCTCATTTTGCAAAATAATATCCCATTATTATTTGTATTTACAGCGCTTCAGTATCACGAGCCATGTTTTATGCGTGCAAAATTTCTATTTGGCACAAGTTCACATATTGCGGAAAATAATTTGCTGATAATAACTAGACACAGTTAATGCAACTATCATGGTTTTGATAATTATTATAGTTACAATATTGAGATACATCTTCATACATACATGAAGACGTAAAATGGAGAAGTAACCCTCCATTTATAGACTGGCAATGATTAAATATATTCTTTTCTATTCTTAATTTTGAATAATTAGAACTATACTAATTATTATAAACAAGCATGATAAATCTCTTCTGGAATTCTTTAAAGAAAGCTTTGCTTGCAAAAAAGCCGCAAGAGATCTCCCTCGGCCAATGAGAGATCTAGTTTACCTTTTCCTGGATTAAGTGTTTAATTGCTTTAAATTAAAAGTTTCCGCTCTGAACATCGAGTCCAGGCTTTGTAGTTAAGCGCTATCTCATACAAAAATTTTAAAAAGACGGGGGGGGATTGTCGCCCCCTTCCTCTGTGTTTCACTTAAGATATTGTTTTTTATAATTAAGTTATAGTTATCAATATATTAAAAGTTGTAATCTCTGTTTGTCTGTTAGATTTCCGTTCATAACTAATGAACCCCTGGACCAATATGCCTCAATTTTTGATTGGGGAACTCGGTATAACCACGTGAATGCTCTTAAACTTATAAAAAAGTTATAAATTGAGTGGGTCGAGTTTCAGTTTCATAGGGAAAACTCCAGACAAACCTAAGCTAGTGCAAGTATATATAGTTAAACTTTATTGTGTATTTACACCAGGATAATTTAACATAATTATTTTTCTGGCAGGTTTGCTGTTATAAAAAAGAAGTTAAGTGCAGGATAATATGATACTTAATTTAAATAAAATTATGCTAATACTGATTATGCGCGCAACATTTAAATTGCGAAATTTTTAACAACTTTCTCAGCTGCATTAAATTTATGATATCATTAAAAAAACCTTAAGTTTTAAGATTTATATTTAATAAAGGAGTTGAGTCTTTGCCACAAACATAAGTTTTTGTATCCCTATACCCTTGCATTCTGATAATGTAAACGTTTGATATTTTAAACTTTGAATATTTAATCTAACAGGATTCATAGTTTGAAATATCTAATGTCTACGACATCGGGTTCCAGAGATATAGGGAATTGAAAATCAGAGTTTGTGACAAAGACTCAATTCCTTTACGATAAATCTGGAAAAATTTCATCTAGTGTTGCAATTTGAAAATCCTAATTTGAATCACTAAAGTTAAAAGTTTATTTTTAATTTCTAGGTATTTAACGCTAAGTTGGTAGTTTGCGGTTTGTTTGTCAACATTTCTCATTAAAAATATGTCAATTACATTTTGACACTTCAAATATATTTCTATTTAGAAAATATTTAAATTTAGTCACATCACTTCAGTAATATTGTTGGTTTTAAGTTCAAAATCAAGGGCACACTCGATAATAATCAATGAATTTTTAAAAGGGTTTGATTTGATAACCCCTCTTTTATATGAAGAGAGCAGGGTATGTTTGGTTAAGAAGGAAAGAAGATAAAAATAATATTTGAAAATTTCCTGAAGAGGTCTTAATACAATTATAGGGAAAAGAATATATGAAGAAAAATACAGCTTAGAATTAAATATATATCTCGAGAAAACCTTTAAACAATACCTTGCTTTGTAAAGATAAATATATTAGTTATTATTATTGAATTATTTGAGTAGCGTGGATTATCAAACATTGAACGACATTTAGTTTTCATCGGAGGTAGAGATATTATTTCAAGAACAAAGTTATTTAATATTTTTCAAAATAGTTTTAGGATGTGTCGGATTAAAGGAATTGAGTTTTGCCAAAAACTTAAATTTTCTCATCCCAATATATTTGCCACCTGAAGTTGTAAACCATTGATATTTCAAATTTAGATTATCAGAATTTAGAAAATCAGTATTTGCGGCATGAGACGGAAGCAATTTCTTTGAAGACATTTGATAAAAAGGGGGAAGTAGGAGGAAAAATTGTGGACATGAAGAAATGAAGTTAAAGAGTGGAAGGTAAAGAAACAGGAGAGAGAGAGAGAGAGAAAGAGAGAGAGAAAAAACTAAAAAAATAAATTTGATGGTTTTCAATTTCACTTTGTTCTAATTTCCTAAATCTAAGAGAATTATATTTTGGTTAATTAAATGTTTCCTCTTCATTCAGGGAATACATTTGATGAAGTAAGTTTAAAATAAATTCTTCCGAGAAAAAGGATTGATTAGAACTAGTTATAGGATGGAGTCCAGTTTCCTAAGGACTAGTAAAGGATACAAAGTTTAATTCAGAGGTTCCTAAAGAAGACTAGAAGGTAGGAGGGAGTCCAGTTTCCTAAGGACTAGTAAAGGATACTAAGGAATGCAGTCCAGTTTATTTCAGAGGTTCATAAGGAAGGACTAGTAAAATATGTAACAAATACAGTTGAACATACCTAGATAAATTACGTTGTACAATGTCTGTAAATCTAACTGCGCTTATCCTTAACTACGCAAAACTTGTAATACGATTAGACTAGCTACGTATTGTGATTAGCTTAACTACAATGTTATACATATGCGCAAATCTTGTAAATAAGTATATTAACTTTACCTGCACTGTTAGAAATGCCATTTTGTAAATTTTCAATATCATCATATTTCAGGCCAATATAACCAGTATATCGAAGACATTCATTGATATATCGTTTGAAATTTGATGTTTTCTGGTCAGAATGATTTTACTTGAATTAGCCTAAACACTAGTTGATATAAGTAAAATTAGAATCAGATTTCTGATGATTGAAGTAAGTAGAATTCAAGTGAATGTAATTAGAATTTAGCGTACAGGCCGTAAATTGATATCAAGCAGAATTATCGTTGATATATTACAACGGATCTTCATGGCTTGGTGCGTGAACTAAATACTGTTGATTGTAAGCGGGTTTTTCTAACAGTGTGTAACATAGATTTCTAAATACACAGCAGTTGGAATATACTTCGTTTTGATTACGGTGAGAGAAGTATTTTTTTCCTCGTTGAAACATACGAGCTGACAAGATGAGGGAGGGAACCCTCGGACGCCATAAGCCTCCACAATGCAGACACGCACAAATGAGCATGCGCAATACATCAAAATGTGCCTGTGAAATACAGGAGATTTTTAAAAACCTGTGTTTTAAGTTTAAATATAAGATTTTTTTTACGAATTTTTCACCAAAGTGGCATGAGAAGTTTCTCAAACTATCTATCCATTATCATAAATAGTGCCCAACTATGACTAATTAAGTTGTATATAAAACTTTAAACATTTTTTGCATGAAAAGGAAAATATTTAGAGAAAATGTTTGTATTACATTTTATTTCATCTCTTACAACCCCTTTTATTTAAGCCATACCTTTTTTGTAGTTCAAATTAAATCTAGAAAATTTGTATCATTTATTTAAATCTTCACATTTTATACAAAGAAGTTGTTGTTTAAATCAAAGATTAAAACAAAACAAACTAAGTTTACTCAAGAAAGATTTCTCCAAATATCTTCCTTTCTGCGTAAGAAATGTTTTAAGTTTTATATACCACTTATGAAGAACAGGGGAGTTCAGTTTACTAAGTGGTTCCTAAGTAAGTGCTAGTATAGGAGACTAGGAAGGAGAAGGGAGTCCAGTTTACTAAGCATGGTTACTCAGGAAGGACTAGTAAGGAAGACTAGGAAGGAGTAAGGAGTACAGTTTACTATGCATGGTTACTCAGGAAGGACTAGTAAGGAAGGCTAGGAAGGAGTAGGGAGTTCAGTTTACTAAGTGGTTACTAAGGAATGACTAGCAAAGGAGACTAGGAAGGAGTAGGGAGTCCATTTTACTAAGAATAGTTACTCAGGAAGGACTAGTAAGGGAGACTAGGAAGGAGTAGGGAGTTCAGTTTACTAAGTGGTTACAAAGGAAGGACTAGTAAAGGAGACTAGGGAGGAGTAGGGAGTCCATTTTACTAAGCACAGTTACTCAGGAAGGACTAGTAAAGGAGACTAGGAAGGAGTAG